ATGTATAAATGAATGAGTGTTGAATTTTTATCAAATGCTTTTTATTTTTATCTGTTGAAAATGATTATATAATTTTGAACTTTATCTTATTTTAGGATGAATTGTATGATTGATTTTTAAATATTAAGCTAACTTCCCATTTCTGGAATTGGCTTGCTAATGTTTTAAGACCTTTGCTTGTATACTTATGAGAGAAATTGGCCTGTAACTTTCCTATATTGTAATGTCCTTTCTAGGTTTTTATATCAGGTTAATGCTTACTTCTTAAAAATGTTGGGAAATACTTACAATTTTCCCATTTTGTGGAAGAGTTTATGTAAGATTAATATGGTTTTTTCCTTGAATGTTTGTTAGAATTCACCAATGAAGCCAAGCCATCTTAGCCTGTTGTATTTGTAGGAAGGTTGTGGTTTTTTATTTTTGTTTTGCAAAAGAACTATTGTTTTGCTTTCTTTTTCTTGGAGACAAAGTCTCACTCTGTCTTCCAGGCTAGAGTACAGTGATGTCATCATAGCTCACTGCAACTTCAAACTCCTGGCCTCAAACAATCCTCCCACCTTGGCCTGCCAAAGTGCTGGGAATTACAGGCATGAGCCACCGCGCCCAGCCTGTTTTGTTCTTTTGTTCTTTTGATGGTATCATTTATACATGTGTTTTCAGTTTCACCAGTTTCTGCTCTAATCTATAGTATATTCTTGTATTTCATATTTCTTTGGGTTTAATTTGACAATATTTTTTCTAAACTCTTGAGATGAATACAGTATTAGTCTGTTTAGGCTGCCATAATAAAATACCATAGACTGGGTGGCTAAAACAACAGAAATTTATTTCTCAGAGTTTTGGAGACTGAAAGTCTGAGATCAGAGTGCTAGCATGGTCAGATTCTAGCTTGCAGATGACTATCTTCTTTCTGTGTCCTCACGTGGCATGAGGGGACAGGGAGCACAAGCTCTCTGGTATTCCTAAGGACACTAATCCTGTTGGATCAGAGCTCCACCCTTGTGACCTTGTGTAACCATAATTACCTCAATAAAGACTCCATCTCCAAAAATACAGTCACATTGGGGATTGGGGATTCAACATGTATTTTAGGGAGACAGTTCAGTTCATAGCAGATACCTAAATCATCATTTTTCACATTTTCTGCACTTCTTATTTGAAGTCATTTAAAGTCACAAATTTTCCTCTAAAACAATATTAGTTTTATCCAACAAACTTTGCTATGTTGTATATTTATTGTCCTTTTGTTCCAAATATTTTCTAATTTTCATCATTATTTCTTATGTTTTGGTTTAATAGTTAGGTTATTGCTTATTACTTTTTAAAAATATGAGAATTTTATAGTTATCTTTGTGAATTTCTAGTTTAGTTCCACTGTGATCTGAGAACATACTTCTGATTCAGTCTTTTGAAATTTATTGAGATTGACTTTGTGGGCTAGCATGTGGTCAATTTTAGTAAGTTTTTCATTTGTATGTGAAAAGAATATGTATTGTATAGTTTTTAGTAACAATTTTCTCTGTATGTGAATATTTTCATGTTAGTGTGTTAAGTCTCCTGTCTCCTTAATTTTTTGGTTTATTAATTACTGTGAAAGATGTGTTTAAAATCTCCCAATATAATCATAGATTTATACCTTTCTCCTTTTTGTTTTAATTTTGGCTTTTTGAAGCTATATGATTAGGTGGGTAAAAATTTAGAATTGTCGTATCTTCCTGGTAGGTTGATCCTTTTATCAGTATATAATGTTACAGTGTGCACCACAGTATCTTTTTAGGCCTAAACATTCAGACTTATAAAACTACCATAGGCCACAGTTTGCACCTGCCTATTCAGGAGGAGACCAGCCAGGCAACAGCATGCTAGCAGGGAGAATCAGACATTCCTCTTGGGTGGAAGTCCTTATGACAATCCCCATCGCAGGTTAGGAGGTATTCTCTTTGATCATGGCAAATGGCAGATTTTGTGTAAGGGAACAAGATTCACTTGGGTGTGGTAGGAGCCACCCTGACTTAGAAATCTCTATTCCACAATACCAACTATTTCTTGTAACAACCCGTGAGCATAGCTTATAGACTTTTTTCAAGGCACATACATGCATCATCATACTAAGAGAAGCCTATAACTATGGCTTCCTACCATATTACAACATGCATTCTTGACTTATTAAAACCTGCAGTAAATTACCACTTGTACCACTTTCCCAGTAATGTGAAGGCTTTAGACCTCTTTAATTCCATTTACCCTCTTCCATCTAATATATTATTGTGTATTTTATTTCTAAATAGATTTTAAATCCTTTAAGTACTATTATTGTTTTCTACAATTAATATTCCATTTAAATTCACCTATGTGTTTCTTTTTTGCTGCTTTTCATTCCTTTCTGTATTTTCATGTTTCCACATGGGTTAATTTTTTCTTCTCTTTAGTATTTTTCTAGTGTGAATCTACAGATGAAAAATTCTCTTTGAATTTTTTTTTCTTTTTTTTTGGTAAGGTATTTTTGCTGGATGTCAAATTTCAGGTCAGGATTGGCACTTCTTTTCTTTTTTTCCTCTAATGTCTTTCATGATTTCTTCTTTTCATTGCTTTTTAGCAATTTTACCATGATATTCTTAGGTATGGTATTCTCTGTATTTATCTTGATTTGTTATGCTTCCTAAAATAGTAACTTGAGCTCTTTTCTCTGATTTGGAAATTTCTCACGTATTATATCTTCAAATATGGTTTGGTGTGTGTTTTCCTCTTTACTTTAGGACTCCACGATTACATAAATGTTAGATCTTTGCACCATGTTCCTTATAACTTTTATGTGGTTTTAGTCTATTGCTTCATCCTTTTCTCTTCATCCTTCAGTACAGATATTTTCTTTTGATCTGTCCTCCACTATTCTTCTCTATTTGTGTCTGGTCTGGTCTTAAACTTATCCATTGAGTTCTTAATTTCAGTTCCTGAAATTATCAGTTGAAGGATTTCTATTCTAGAAATTGTTTTGTTCCAAAATTTTCTATCTTGTCACGTAATTCCTTGAATGTATTAACCATAGCTACTTTAACACCTACCTGCCAATTCCAATATTTAAATCTCTTGTGAATATTTTAATATTTTCTCTTTTTTCTTAATTTTCCCTCATATCTGTTCTTCTTTATGCATATTTATTTTTGACTGTGCTGTATGTGTTATATGAAAATTTTTAGAGATAATTCAAGGCTCTGTATGATGTTCCGTTTGCTTCAGACATTCATCTTGGATTACTTCCTTTTTGCCATCAGTTAATTTCTTCTGTGGAATTTCCTTGAGTAAGTCTCTGTTGATGGTGAGCCTTGATAGTTTTTATTCTTCTCTAGGCATCTCTATTTTGCATACTTTTCTTCAATGAAATATTTTTGATGAGTAAAGAATTCTGGGTCCAGAGTTATTAATATTTTCTCTTAACATATTGGTGATATTTTTTCATTGTCTTCCAGTGTTGCTCTTTAGGAGTCCAGTGTGGATTCTTTTTTTTAATTGTATTTAAAGGCGTTGCCTATAATTGGCCTTTTTATTATTCATGATTATTAGATTCATTCAGGAAAAAAATTGTATTTTAATATACAAATCTTATGCATCTGATCTGTTGATTAGTACTTTTGCATATTTATATCATAGTAACAGTTTGAAGTTTATAAAGATAAATATGGCATTCACTGCAAGATAGTAGGAGGACTTCAGAATTATTTAGAAATAAGTTAGTTTTCTTCTTCAATGTAGTTTTAGTGCTATATATTTTCTTTTAGAAAGTATCGTAAGTAACATGAGTATTCCTAGATAATGATTTTATGGTAACAACTCCAATTTTTAATTTCTATGGATTGTAACATGAATATTTACTATATATATTAAAATTTCCTGTTAATCAGAATATTCATTAACTAGAAATTCATGGCTAACTATTAATTATTAGAATTTTCTGTATGTTATGTAAGGGCTTCCTGCATAATTAACTCCGTGATGAATATCCATGTCTTGTAGAGCATGCAACTGAGATATCTGATTTTTTTTTCCTATTTGATTCAGCTCTGTAAGGAAATACAGATTTCAGACTAAAACAATTTTAACACTTGCCACATTGCTGTAGTCTTAGAATAAAGCAGAAAAATACTTTGTGTTACTCACTGATAAGCCCACAAAGGAAGACGATTTAATTATATTTTATTAAAATGTTAAAAGAAATAAACAATTGACCAGTCTTCCTGATCAGTATTAATAACTTTATAATAGTAATGGCATTAGATAACATCAAATGATTTTAATAATGTAAATTTCTTAGTATTATACAAATATTAATTCATTTATTTGCCACTAACCCTATGAAGTAGGTGCCATTAATATTCTCCTTTTATAAATGTGGAATCTAGATTTCATGTTGTTTGGGACCAAACTCTAATTTTTTTTTTTTTTGGTAATTTTGTTTTAGGATATGATGACACCTATAGATTTGGGGAAAAAAACAATTTATTTAGTCTCATTCTTTGAAGGCTTACAGCGCATTATTTTATTCACTGAAGATCCAAGGGTATTTAAAGTAACATATGAAAGTGAGAAAGCAGAGTTAGCAGAGCAAGAAATTGCATTGGCATTACAAGACGTTGGAATTTCTCTTGTCAACAATTACACAAAGCAAGAAGTAGCCTATATAGGCTTTACAAGGTTAGATGCATGGATAAATTTAAATGATCAGTTTTTAATCATTAAGGAATGATTGTAAAATCTAAAATGATTTAGTTTAAATTTTGTGCTTTGACTATTTATTGATACTAAGGTAATGCTAATTTAAAAGTAGGTTTGAGATCTTTTTTTGTCTTTTGAGATAAAGACATGTCAAAAATCAAATTTATGAATCCCTTAACTATGTTAATCCTCCTACCTCTCTAAGAAGTTATATTTATTCAACTTATCAAAAGTATACTTTACTTGGCACATCATAAAAAATATTTAATTGTCCATTACCATCTACCACAATGCAGGATATACTGTAGATTCTCCATAGTTGTTGGAGGATTAAAGTAAAGATATTTACTTTCAAATTTGACCTTGGCACTTTTAAGGTTCTAATAAGGTAATATTGTATTTATCATTCCCCATATAAGACATCTCTCCCTTATGCCCTTGTTGTTCCTATTCATAACACTTAAATTGAAATTAATTCATATGTATTAGTGCCTAATGTGAGAGCATTTCTTTAAGTCTATATGACCAGTATAATGTAGTTTTAATTGTTTACTTGAAGTCAAACTCCTGAATATATATATTAAAAATATATGATACAGATTTAAATTTAGTTTTCTGTATACATTAATCTATAAATCCCTGGCCTCTCATTGAATCAGATTAACACATTTTAAAAGGAATATTAAAATCTGTTTTCTTAGAAATTTGTATTGTTCCCCAAAAAGATAAATTTTTGTTTAAGAAAAAAATAGACAACAGATTTTAAGACTGTTAAACCTATCATATGTTATCTCCTATGCTAAATGATGTTAATGCAAAGATGAGTAATACATGGCCTCTACCTTTCTATTAAGTGAATATAAATTTTATAAAGAATAAATAAATAGGATACTTAAACAACTTAAATACTTAAATAAAATATTAAGTAATTTCAGAATGTGGATAGATTTTTTATTCTGTATTTAAGTCTTTCAGCCTTTTAGTTTCAGTACAATGAGATTTCTTCCATTGACACTCTTCTAGATTACTATTTTGCACTCTGTCTCTTCAAACGCCCATTCTCTCAGCTCACCGCCTTGCATCCCCTTTTACTAAGAAAATTAAAGCAATCAAAAACAAACTTCCACAGACCCACCTCACGCCCCAATATCGCAACTTCCTACCTACCTACCAGCATTTGCACCTCCATACTATACCGACATACTTCCCCACAGTTGCAATAGATATATCTCATACATGCTCCTATTACACATAGTTTTCTACTTTTGCACTACATTTTATTTCCTCTTACCTACTTGAGGACATTGGTCCAGCAATCCTCTTCTTCCTCTTACCTAAGTCAACAGCTTTTGGCTCCCTACTGGATTCCTCCCCTCAGTGTTACTTCTCTCAACTTTAATTTTCTTGAGCCTACTTTCCTTGCTATCTACTGCTTCTTTGTTTCCCTTTATAGCCACACTCCTCAAACATCATGTGTATTTCAAAAGAGTTTAACATATTAGCTATTCTCCAATTTTTTTTCATCCATTGTTTCTTTAACCACTCCAGACAGGGTTTTGCTTTCAGCACACTGTGAATCTGGTCTCGTCATGATTACCAGGGACCTCTGTGGTGCCAGATCCAGTGTAGAATTATCAGTCCTCACTTTACTTCATAACATTTAACACAGATCTCTCCTGGATGTAGTTTCTTTCACTTGACTTACAGAATACCTCTCCTTCCTGGTTTTTCTTCCTATCCCAACACTCTCAGTCTCATTTGTTGTTTCCTTGTCTTCTCTCAACTCCTTATATTTAGTGCCTTGAGACACTTAGACCTGAGTCCTCTTCTCTCTATTTCAGTTTAATGATTTGAAATACTACATATATACCAAAAAATTCTCTCTAAATATTAATTATATATCTTCTGCCATACCTGTCATCTGAACTCCAGACGTGTATCCAACTGCCCATGCAAAATCTCTGCTCAGATATTTAAGGGACTTCTTAAACTTCATATGTATGACACCAAACTTTTGATTTCTTCCTTCTTCTAAAACCTGCATTCCCATCAGAATTAATCACAACTAACTTCTAGTGACAGGCCAAAAACCTTGGAATACTCTGTGATTCCTCTCTTTATCTTGTACCCCACATCTAATCCATCAAAAAGTGCTGTGCTGGCTTTACCTTCAAAGTGCACATAGAATCTGGCCACTTTTTTTTTTTTTTTTTTTTAATGATAGGATCTCACTTTGTTGCCCGGGTTGGAGTGCAGTAGCATGATCATAGCTCACTGCAGCCTCAAACTCCTGGGCTCATGTGATCCTCCTGCCTCAGCCTCCCAAGTAGCTAGGACTACAGGTGTACATTACCAGACCTGGCTCATTTTTCAAAATTTTTTTGTAGAGATGGAGTCTTCCTATGTTGCCCAGGCTGATATCAAACTCCTGGCCTCAAGCAATCCTCCATCCTCAGCCTCCCAAAGTGCTGAGATTGTAGATGTGAGCTACCATGTCCAGTCCTGACTACTTTTTATTATCTCACTGTTAATACCCTCATCAGAGTCGTCATCATTTCTCAGCTGGCTCACTGTAGTAAATTCCTAACAAGTTTCCCTTTTTTTTGCTTTGACCCATTTTTTTCTTTCATCCCACCCCAACAAAGAATGTATTCTTAACAAAGTGTAAGTCAGATCAATAGTTATAATCTTTTTATAACCATTCAATGGTTCTTCATCTTACTCAGAATAAAACTCAGAGTATTTACAATGACCGAGGCTTTACATTATTTGACTTCCTATCATATGTCTTACTTCATCTACTTTTAATGTGTTCCTTCCCTGCCAGCCTCCTTATGCTTCCTCATATACTACAGATGTGCTCTTGCTTTAGGGTCTTTGCTGTAGCCAGTCCCTCTACTTGAAATGTTCTTCTCCTCTTGTCTGCCAGATAATTCTCTCACCTCCTTTAAGGTGGCTAAAATCTCACCTCAGTGAGCCCCCTGTTGCCCACTCTACTTTAATATTGCAGCCCCCACCACTTTGCATATTCCACTTCTCCAGATCCCCCTTCCCCAGATCCCCCTACCCTGTCTACTTGTTCTTCTTTCAAAAGCATTTTCACCTTCCATATCTTAAAATTTACTAATTTATTTTGTTTACTATTTGTTGTTTGTCACTTCCCAGCTAAAATAAAGCTCTGGAATGGCGGAGATGTTCACTGATATGTCCCTAACACCTAGAATAGTACCTGAATAGGACTTTAATAAGTATTAGTTGGATTAATTCATGTTTTTAAACTTGTAATATGCTTACTTGTAACTGAGGTTATTATAAAATTTTACTGAAGTTTTTCTACTTTATATAATAAACCAGTTAAAAGTGTTGATAAATTACTACTATGATTTTTGCTTTCATATATATAAGTTCTGATGTGGTTTGGGAGACAAAGCCCAAGAAGAAGGCCAGATGGAAGCCAATGAGTATAAAGCACACTGAGAAGTTAGAGAAAGCATTTAAGGAATATACTGAATCTTCACCTGCAGAAGATAAGGTTATTGAGTTGGACACTAACATTCCGGTAATATTTTTAATGTGACCTTTTAATTTTGATTTGTTGTAGTTCAGAATCACTAGTTAATTTTAAGGAAAATCTGGCTTCCTTAGAAAACAAATTGAACATAATTAATCCTACTATACATACTTTATATAAAATATTATATTTTTAAAGGGGTAGTTATCTGTATTAAGAAATCAAATTTTCTCTTAAGATGCTAGATACTAATGATTTGTTCTTTGGGTTAACAGGAAACAAAAATTTTTTTTTATTTCTTCTTATGTACTTTTAAAAAATTGTTATTTTTTTTCTTTAATTTTATTATAGTAAATTTATGTAAAAACTGATACAGCCAACCTATAAGGATTATATAAATATTTATGTGAATTTTATGGATATGGAATATAAAAATCTAAGTCTAAATGTAATCAAATATTTAGTCTACTCTTTTAATTAGTATTATCTTAAAAGTTTTTTGGTATAAATTTCTAATTCTAATCAATTGTGGATAGAAAGAAATTTTTTTGTGTTGTGGGGGGCATATTTTTCAGGTTCGCTTAACACCTACTGGTAATAACATGAAAATTCTGCAACCACATATAATAGCTATACGAAGAAATTATCTTCCAGCATTAAAGGTGGAATACAGCACATCTGCACATCAGTCATCATTTAGAATTCAAATTTACAGAATACAGGTAAGTCGTTCTGAAAATGTAGCCAAAATTGTGTACTAAAGGGATGTATAAGAAAACAGATATATTCCTATGGTCTGTTTTTAGTACTTCAGTTTCACTGTTGGGCTAGACTTTTTGATTCCTTCTATTTCTTAAATCCTGTTATTCTAGTCAGGTTGTATAAATGACCTACTGATATACTGACTTGTTTTTTATTTTCTTAGATCCAAAATCAGATACATGGTGCTGTGTTTCCATTTGTGTTTTATCCTATTAAACCTCCAAAGTCAATCACCATGGATTCAGGTTTGTTTTTATATTTAGTTTGCCATAAAAACAGTTGTATTAGCCATTTGGTTTATTTTACTATAAATATGAAATGAAACCATTCTCAGGTTTAATTTCTACAAGACGATTGGAAAATCAAACTGCTTGAGAAAAGACCAAGTACTGTATGCAACTCACTTCAAAAAAACTTGAAGTGAATGAATCCTGAAGAAAAGATCAATTAGAAATATATATTTAGATTTTTAGAAATAGTAATTTAAAAAACAGATTTCTAAACTGTAAACCTGTGATTTGAAAACCATTAGGACCTTTGAATAAACAGTAAGGAAGTTCAAAGTGTCTTCTAACACCAAAAACTGTCCTATGTTCTCTAGGTAAGAATAACCGACAAGTTCTTTCTTCTTCCCATTTCTTTCCCTTTCCCTTTCTTCTTTCTTGCCTATCCCTCCTCCCCCCACTTTCTTTGCTCTTCTCACTACCCTACTCACTTCCCTCTCCCCTTGCTTTCCTACCCCACTCCCACACCACTCCTCTAAACTGTCTTGGGCGGTGGTATTCTTTGTAATCTGCTGGAAAGCTCTTTGACCACTCTACATGCTTAAGCCCCTCCTCCTCAAAGTCTGGCACAAATCTTCAGAATCTGTTTTCACTGAGTTTCCCTGATGATTCTAATGTATCCTTCTAGTTTAAAATCACTAATTTGTGGGATTAGTTATCCTTAGAATAACTGCAGATAATTAAAAAGAACAGTCCTGGAGTCTGAAATTAAGATTGTAATAGATCTTGCCAACTTCACTACTTTTTAATTGCTACTCATGACTTAGTAAATGATTTAATTATCCATTGTGATGTATATTAAATCACAAGAAAATGCTTATCTTTTGCTTAAAGCATCATGGGAATAATTATATTTATAACTTTAACAGCACCAAAGCCCTTTACAGATGTCAGTATTGTCATGAGATCTGCAGGACATTCCCAGATATCACGTATTAAGTAAGTGCCTGAATACATTTCTTGTAT